GCTAGAGGATAGGACTAGGATTCAGAGAGATGTAAACAAACTGGAGGATTGGCCCAAAAGAAATGTCATGAGGTTCAATAAGGACAAGTGCGAAGTACTGCACTTAGGACACACAAAAAAAAAAAAAAAAAAAGGATCAAGCCCCTCACCAAATTGTGACAGAAAAATTTAAATGGATTAAACCTCGGGGTTTTATTCTATGCCCCACCAGCACAGAATAAAACCTCCCATCACGTGTACAAAGCTTCATTTGTTGCTAGTATTCGCCATGATTATCCATTCATAAAATATGTATACATGTTAAAAGTGTGTGGAATCTTCAGATGGTTACAATATATCATAGCTGAACAGCAACAGTTATGAATTATGTTTTCTTCCATTATCTGAAATCTGCTGCTTTGCGACATTATACACACATATATGTAAGAAAGTGGGATTCTATGTGAAAAAGTATAAAGCACTTTGGTGTCATCTTTTTGTTAGAGGTAATGGATAACTTTATGAAGAAATATGATTTGTAGACTTTTGCATGATTCCAATTTAAGACATTTCTATGGCTTAGTTTGCTGCGCTTGGCAAAATACCTGAAGTTTTTACCCTCAGTTTAAGTCCATCTCAATTACCAATGTATTTAAACACATGCTTATGTTGTATTTCAACTTCAACAGGCTTAAACATATTCTTAAGCTTAAGTACACATTTATTTGCTAAAGTGAACCAGAGTCAAAGGCAGTAATTTCATGTCATGTTTCTATGACAGAGTAAAGAAAGTATGTCACCTCCTCCTGTATCTTTTTAAACCTCATTATTTACAATATGAAAATTATAATTTAAATACATGCTACTGAAAGACTCAATGTAAAGAAAGTAATTTGTCCATCTTGATGTAAAATATAATGTGCTAACACTGTCTTTTTAGTAATTATCTTTGTCCCAGCAAAATTTTAAAACAACACTGAAAGCCAACTAAAGCAATACTCAACCACCTTTTTGTGGCCATAGGCCAGAACATGTCAACTCAGGTGTGAGGAAACCCAGCACTAGGACCCATCCACTGCTGCATCTGCTTCTCCCTGCTGCCAGGCAATAGCAGGGGGGAAGTTCCTCACAACTGGGCCACAGCACAGCATGGTGCAAGTGAGGCCCCCCACTGAAAAAGCCCCCTGGGTCTGTAAGCAGATCCAGCCTACAGACCAAAGGTTCCTAACCCCTGAAATAGAGTGAAGGAGACTACAGGCAAAAGACTTCATTATGAAACTGAAAAATTAACTCTAAAGCAACATGGCTATACTTCCTGTTTATGTTTTATGGGAATCAATTGTTATTGTTGGCTTCTATCATTCATTTTCTCACAAATTACTCTTGAAGATGTACAACAGCTTTGTATAAAATTTCCTTTAATTCCTTTATTCCTAGTTTTAAGGCCAGTAAATACAATATACTCTTAGTCACTTTAATTGGAAAGAAAGAAAATTAGCACTTACCACCACCAAGAGTGCAAGAACCCAGGGGGTTCCCCCAATGTGATATTTTTTTCCCATCGTATCTTAAAAAAACACAAAAAAAGAAGCCCAATAAAAAATAAATTCTGCATGTTATATTATGTATCTCTCCATTGCTAAGGAGAGATTTCAAGTGTTACTTTAAGCCTACATGTGCAAGGCTCAGAGAGAGAGAGAGAGGGGGGGGGGGGGGGACATTAAAAAAACTTCAAAAATATATATAAAATTCATCTGAATCAGACTTCTAAGGAAAACCAAGGAATGCTGCAGGAATAATGTTAGCAATTCAGCAGGTGGCAGTCTTTCCTCCACATCCAAATTGAACAAATGTTTCAGCACATAAAAGAGCATTGAGCTTTGAACTAAGATTCAACAGTAGTTTGCCCAAAGTGAATGAGATGGCCAAACATAGGAATTTAGCTAGGACTGTTTCTATATCATACATGCCTTCTCCACTTACATTTGGAGTATTGTTTACTTCCTGTTCTAAACTGTGGGGAAGTATTATTATCTGAACATATCCAACATTCTGCTCCACATGGGGAAGTGCCAGCATGTCAGGAGTGGATGAAATGTGTCCATCTGTTGTGAACTCTTTGGATCATTTGGTATGAAGTGTTGATGTGTATAAATAATATCCTTAAGAAAACTGAGTGTGGCTAGTCATATGATTTGCGAAGAAAATAAAAGGTTTTGGTACCCAGCTTCCACTGAATTCCAAGGTCCAGTTATCCATGATTTTCAAGAAGAGATTATTTGATACAGACAAGTATTTAATGATTTGCAAGAGAAGGAGGATATATACTAGCAGTTAGGTCACCCCTTACAACTGCAAACAGAATGTTTCTAATGCAAGTATGATGTACTGTGTAAATGACATTTTCTGATAGCGAAACTTATTATCTTTTCACTTACTGGGTCTATTTCCTTTTGCTGCTAAAGTCAGTCCTAGAAACCAATTAAACAGCACTCAGAATGAAAAATTAATAAATAAAAACAGTTAAAAAGAGCAGTTGAAAAAAAACAGTTTAAAATGTGGAAATGCCACCTTTATTATATCAGGCAAAATCCAAGTTAAAATAAAAATCAAATCAACAATATAAAATAAAAGACTACTCATATCCATTGCAAATAACTTGAAGAACTCAAGTTAAATACATAGAATAGATGGTATTCTTCAGAAGTGTGGAAAGTAAAGTGCTCAGGTAGATGCATGGTAAGTAACACTTGTTCCTGAACACTAGCAAGTCATTCATAAAGCTCAAAAATAATGTCTAAGTAAAGGACTTTCACAAGGGCTGTGTGCATTATGTAAATCCTTCAAAAACACGGCTTAAGGGCTTAATTGGTGCCTAGGGCTTCTGCTGGCTCTCTTCACTGGGAAGCATTTCGTCCTAGTCAAGGCATTCAAACAGGAAGTCTAACAAGAATGAGGAATATATATTATGCTTGATCTTAAGTCTGTCTGACAACACAGATTTAAGTACAAAAGGGCTTTTAAGAAGAATTATTAAAACACAAAACAATGCCAGAGAGAAGACCTCTTCAGGGACAATATCAAGGGTCCTTAAGTGAAGAATAGGTAGATTGTTAATAAGGAGCTGCCTGCCTACCTACCTGAATTCAGGTAAGTAAACAGGTTTATTTTTCTAGGGCTGGGACCCAATATCTAGGGACACTAAACCATTTAAAAAACCTTGCCTAGGTATGATAGGGTGGGCAACCATTCCTCTAGGAAAATAATGTGAGGTTGACTAGAGCAGAAGAGCAGCTACTGCCTCTCCAGTCAGAAGCTAGGCTACATGGTTTAAGTGGCATATACCAAAACTTCCACACACAAAATAAGTAAAACCCATGACCATAGATCTTTTGCTATTTCAATCACTTTTCTTTATTTGTTATATGCCTTTGAGTTAAAACAAAGAAAAGAAAAAACTCTTGTAGTCACTTTAATTAGCTGCTAGTCACATCTCCTACAAGGAAATTTCTTGCAGGAACCAACTAACTTTCAAACTAACTTGGTAAAGGAGATAAAACAGGTCAACAAAGCAGTTAACCCACAGCCTCACTGTCAGAATGGTTGAACCAGAGGGTACTATCTTATAAAGAGGAAAAAGCAAAGCATCTCAGGAAGGTTGAACTCCAGGGGTAAGGACAGAAGTTACACAAACTGGTTTAAGTCATCAGAAACAACAGAAAATATGTTCAGTGCACATAAAACAGTTTCAAAATGAATGGAACTGGTTTAAGACAAGACTTAACTGATTTGGGTCAAACTGGATTATGAAACTTCTGTCCCAGACCCCTTCCTGGTTCAAGTAAAATCAGTTCCCTGGCATGCCGGCATGCTTTCCAGCCCTGTGCTGTGCTGTGCTATGCTGTCTGTTCCAGCAGACAAGAGTTGAGGTGGGGAGACAGGGACTGCCCCTCCCGTGCAAACCCTGGCTGTGGGCTAGGGCCAGGGAGTGACCCCTCTCCTCACTCAAACTTACTGCTGGCTACGACTGTGGACTACAAATCCCAGAGGCACCTGGAAGCAGCCCCTGCCTGTGCCTGGAAGCAGAAAGAAGTGATGATCAACCCTGCAGTCTTGCTGCCGTGATTCTGGACTGCAAATCCCAGAGACCTTAGGGGCAGCAGGAAGAGAAGCAAACCCACAGTCCATGCTGGCTACATGCCAAAGAGCCATGCTCTAGTGCCCCTGGCTTCTGGCCTGAGCCACTACAGGCACGTAGCTACATTTTCTGACTCAAAAAAATAAATGTATCCAGTTGTTTCTTAGTATATTCTCTGCAGTTTAGGCTAAGCTGCAAAGACTGAATTGATTCAGCCTTGAATGTTTTGACCATCTGTAATTAGACCAGGGGTCTACATGCCATAACTATGAAAACTCCAAGAGGATTTTGAATTTACTTGTTGGTGAATCTTTGTTCTAGGAAAGTTCAGTTAAGAATACAGTATCACAACATTTGGTGAAAGTTAAACAGCCAGTTAACTTGGGACAATATTTTACATTCTACATGATCTCAGTATAGGAAACATTTAATTTTGCCCCATTATTTAGTTATATTCTCTTCTTCTACCTTAAATAGTATTTCTGTATCTTGTCACTTACACTCTTCTAATTTTTTGTATTCTCCTACACATAGCTTATCTAAGTTACACACGTAATGTTGTAAGGTTGGATTCTCAGTCCCAGAGTTGATCTAAGTTATTAGTTTTCAGCAGCCAATGGGCATTTATACACATACCTTTTTGTCCAGCAGCACACCAGAGATCTGGTGGGTTGGAGCAGACTCAACTTTTTGTGTGTGGAAGTTTTAGCATATGCCATTTAAACCATGTAGCCCAGATTCTGTAGGGAGAGGGAGTAGCTGCTCTTCTGCTGTGTCAACCTTACATTCTTTTCCTACAGGAATGGTTGCTCACTTGGCAACCCCATCGATTAATCAAGTCTGCTCCGCACAGGAGCTGACACGCACCAACTGCTTAGCGTGCAGTTATATAACTGGCGAAATGTGCGTCAATGTGCAGAAAATGTCAGTGGTGCGCTTTTGAACTGAAACACCTCCAACATGTTTTAGTTCAAAAGTGCACCACCATTTTTTTGGTGCTGACATGCATTTCACCACTTATATAGTTGCATGCACCGCAGCACCAGGCACTTTTAAAAGTGCCTGGCACTGTGGCACAAGCATGTGTACAAATGCTCAAAGGGACCGTTCAAGCAGCTAGAAATGCTAGAACACAGGGAACCTCACGCCACACTCCTTTCTATATATTGTGTATATTGGATTATTTTCCTCTTGGAAGTGCATTCTATGTCATTTGCATTATGTCACTACTCCAGTGATATTAGCAACTTTGCCCAATATAGTTTCTTCTACAAATGCATTCAACATACTGTTTGCTTTTTCTGCACCATTAATGAAGTAGTTAAATAAGCCCAAAGATCCTTGTATTATTTAACAGATAACACACACCACTCATTATATTACTATTTATCACTGCTTCTTTCTCACTATCCTTCACAGAGTATTAGTCTATATTTCTAGATATTCAAATTTGAATTAATTTTGAGAGCAAGTTTTTCAGCAATGCCACAGAATGCTTTTTTAAAATCAAATGTCATATCTATTACATTCCCCTTCATCCACTCATTTTGTAAACCTATCAAAAAAGTAAAATAAGCAATGGTCTTCTTGCAAAATTTATCCTTCATAAATGAATTATTTTTACTGCTGCATAAATTATCCTCTTTTGTATTTTTCTCTTAATTTTTTTCCATTACTCTACAGAGAAATTAGATATACCAAACAGTAACTGCCAGAAACACTTTTCTGTGAACAAAAGAATTGGTAGTACCACAAATCTGCTTTTTTCCTGACTTCTGGTGCAATGCCAGCTGTCGATGATTTGTTCAAAAAGAATTGTCAATAGCACAATAATTTTGTTAACTTTTGGGGAAGCTGCCAATCAGCTTTTAGGACAGCTGATTTATAGATCTCCAAATTTTTCCAAGTATTACTTTACATGCTCCTTATTTAATGGGGTTTTCCTAAGTTTTTCCTCATTTCCCAGTTGTCAACATGCTTACTTAAATATTTTCATTCATTTAAATAGGAGTTGATTGTCTAGCACTCAGTTTATTTTTCTGAGAAGAGAGATAAACTGATGAGGAAACATATTTTACCTGGATTTTCAAAAGATTTACAAAGCCCTTTAAGACATATAATAAAGAAAAAAATAATAAATAGAAGATAAAAGAAAAGAGTCCCATCAAGAATTAAAAAGATTAAAGGAATAAGATACAAATAGGTATAATAAATATATAGTTATTTCTCCAAATGAAAAGAAAAGGATAAATGCATGCACCAAGACCAGTGTTGGTCAATATTACATATAGCGTTTACAGAGAATACCAAATGAACCTCAGAATACAAGATGTAGCATAACTGTTATGCGTTTGGAATAAGTGCATTATCGACACATGATGTAAACAGGAGCAAGTCATGCAGGTCATTCCAAAGAGTACTAACAAACTGATGCATTCTTTATATGCTACACCTGTTCCAGAAAACAAAAGGGACATTTATTTTGTGTGGTAATGGACAAGGACCCAGGTATGCCAAAGAAAGGTATAGAAAACCTGATCAGCAAAAACTGAAACTCAAAAGAGCTGGTGTGTGTTTTTGCCTTTTTTAAAATGTGCATTTATTTTATTTCCATATGCTATCAAAACTGAGAAAAAGATGAGAAACATACATACCTCTGATAAAAATGTCTGGGCGGATTTCTGTGCTCCTACATGGAGCAGATATTCATATACGTACAGCGCTAACCTGAAATGAAAACAAAAGGCATTCAATATAGAAAATGTGTTTGCTTATTTTTTAAAATGTTCTCAGCAATTAACAGATTGAACTATGTAGTACTTGAATACAAAAAAAAATGTGTTCTAAAAAAGTGTCAGATCTACTATTACCTAAAGCAGGGGTCAGCAACTTTTTTGGGCAGAGTACCAAAAACACCTGCGACCTTGACTTGTAAGCTCTGGGCATGCCAGGACGGATGGCAAGGGAGCCGTGAGGGGCCCAACCCGTGTTGTGGAAGCACAACCCTGGCCCCTTCCCCACCATCCACCCCAAGGCAAGCATGCCAAGTAAAATGCCTTTGCCTGCCACTCTCTAGCACCTGTGTCACGGGCTGCCTACCCCTGAACTAAAGTCTGAACTTCTAAACAAGAATGTGTAGGTCAATTTCAAAGCAGTTGAAACAGTAGTTAACACAGTATTATTAAAACTCAAAATGACTTTATGTAATTATTTTTAATTATATTTTAACACATGCTCAGTAAGAACACAATATTTCAGTTAATTCTACTGTATATTTATCCAAACCAAACCAAACACATCATATGAATAAATTATAGCAATGCTGTGGGTTTTTTACAAAGCAAACTGCTTACTTTTGGAAGGTGCTGAACTCTTTACATCGTTGTCTCCCAAACTTTGGTAGCTAGGGCATGCTTTTTTCTGGATTAAAAATTGGCTGCACACAACTCTTTTCCACCCAAAAGGGTTGTGGGGGAGAGAAGGGGGGAGGAGTGTGTGCATGTGTGTGTGTGCATACATGTGCATATTCATACACGCACACTTTTAAAAAATATAATGTATTCTACTCTCATGCCAGAGAAAACCATGCCAGTGCTGAGATGCAGTTACAAAAATTGCTCCAGAATTTTTCTGAAGTTTGCAGCTGAAAATCACTGAACCAGATCTAAATTCAGAAAAGACCTGGAGGGGGACCTTAAGGCTAAAAAAGTTGAAAATCACTCATGCATCCCCTCCTGCCAGCCCCAAAAGCAAATGAGGAGTAGAGGTGATGAGCCAGACTGCAAAGCATGACACCTGCCCACCCACCTATTCACAACAAAGCATGCTGCTGGGAGCGGGGGAAGGATGGCACAGGGGCTGCCTGTGGCAGGGAAGGGCAGGGGAGAGGCAGCAGCAGTGGTGGCAGTTCCCAGAAGAGTAGCGCCAGTTCCCACTGGGGTAGCTGTGGTAGGCACAGCGTGCTGGACAGAGGAGGGGGGCATTCACCTCCTCACACAGGAGGATCTCACAGCATATTTCTAATGCTGTTGCAGCACACTACTCCACCATGGCACACCGTTTGGAAATCACTAGTTTGCACCTTTGACCAATAGCTTAAGTTTACTCACAGAGCACATAAACCTCAGTCAAGCACTGAACTCAATCCTGCATCAACTTCTGTTGTGGTTGCATCACCATTAGGTAAAAATATGAATAACTCTTAAAGCCCACTTAGTCCCTTGTCTTTCTCAGAGTGGCAATAAGGTGAGACCAAATTGAACTCCATAGTGAAAGTCACACAGCAGCCATACACATCCTAGATTACATCAGTGGGGCTTTATGCAGATAGGAATATAGTCAATGAACGTCTGTCCACTAACAGGGCAAAAACACCATCTCTCGTAGACCAACATTGCTAATTCCCAATTATCCAAACTGCATTAAAATTGTTGACCTGGAGATGAAAGCTTTTTATCTCACTACAAATTCTCTAAGAAGCTAATTTCAGTAGCACCTTCTTTTCTCAATGAAGATTTGTTACAGATTAATTCCAATTCTCAAGAATGTACATCTCTCCTAAAAACACTGTTCTGCACAGAACATGTACATGCAACACATCTGCAAAAAAGCTGAAGCCTGATTATATGCAGTCTTAGGGATGTATTCCTAAAAAAAAGTTTTGTTTTTAAAAATCTCTCTGTATATATGAAGTAAACGGTGTTAATAAAAATGGATCTAGAAGGCACAAAAGTCTACAGTTTCCTTCTACCTTTCAGAAGATGTATCTGAAGTCATCATATCACAAGTGGGATGGGGCCACAGGAGGACACGAGGACACCTCCCAGCCTATGCAAGTGATGAGCACAAGAGGTACCCAAGTAAGTGACAAGGGTCCACAGATAGTCCTAGGAATCGGGGGGGGGGCAGGGGGGGGCGAGGCATGCACTGACAAGAAGCCTTAAATGCCTTTACACTAATGCTCAAAGTATGGGGAATAAACAGCAGGAACCCGCCCTCCGGATAGCTAGTACAAACCCAGACATAGTAGGGCTCATTGAAACCTGGTGGGATTCAACCCAAGATTAGGCAGTAAACATTAGGGGCTACAGACTATACAGGAGGGACAGAACAGGGAGGAAAGGCAGGGGTGTGGTGTTCTACGTCAAAGAGCAATACGCATCCTCAACTGACCGGATGGGGTCAGAGGAGGGGCAGACTGAAGAGCTCTGGGTCAACAAGGGGGTTGCGGGGAAAGGGACTTAATGGTGGGTGTCTACTACAGACCACCCAACCAGGGGGAAGTGCTGGACTGGGAATTCTCAAGTCAGCTCGCGGAGGCAGGTAAGTCAAGGGATGGGGTCATCATGGGTGATCTAAACTACCTGGACATTTGCTGGGAGGAGCAGTCAGCCGGGTCTGACCGCTCATGTAGGTTCCTTGTTGGGATACAAGACCTCCACCTAACCCAGGAGGTACACAGTGCCACCAGAGGGAATGCCCTGCTGGACCTGGTCCTGGCCCCTGGTGAGAGGACTCCAGGCCCTCGACCACCTGGGCGATAGCGATCATCACCTACTGGAATTCACCATCCAGCACAGTGTGTCAAGGGCCTGCAGCAAGGCAGTAGGCCCTTGACTTCAGGAGGGCCGACTTCAACAAGTTAAGGAGATTGGTAGGAGAGGCACTATGGTTCCGGACAGTAGGCAAACTAGGTGTCCAAGACGAGTGGTCGTTCCTTAAGGAGACAATCCTCTGAACCCAAGGGGTGACAGTCCCAACGCGAGCCAAAGGGGGCAAGAGTGCTCAAAAGGCCCCTTGGCTTACCAAAGGCATTCAGGAACGTCTGAAAGCCAAAAAGGAGGAGTACATCCAGTGGAAGCGGGGGGCTATCATCAAAAAGGATTATACCTCCATAGCAAGAGTGTGTAGGGAGGCTATTAGGAAGCCTAAGGCAGAGATGGAACTAGGGCTGGCAACAAGGATCAAAGTCCTTTTTTAAATACATAGGGAGCAAAAAGAAGGCACCAGGCAACATGGGGCCCTTGCAGGATATGTTTGGCAATCTGGTGGTTGCACTAGATGAAAAAGCAGACCTTTTAAACAAATTCTTTGCCTCCATTTTTCTGAGTAGGGACCGGGACTTCTCCCCCACCAGCATACAGGACAGACTCAGGAGCGACTCCGCCAGGCCTAGGGTCAAGGAGGAACGAGTTAGGGAACTTCTGGAGGGGCAGGACATGTTCAGATCAGCAGGTCCAGTTACTCTCCACCCCAGGGAGCTCAGGGAATTGGCAGGGGTCATCGCAGGGCCCCTAGCACAGCTTCATGAGCACTTATGGTGCTCTGCCCAGGTGCCAGAAGACTGGAAGAAGGCCAATGTGGTCCCCATTTTCAAAAAAGGGAGGAGGGAGGACCCAGGCAACTATAGGCCTGTTAGTCTTACTTTGGTCCTGGGGAAACTTTGAAAAAATTATCCAGGAGCACATCTGGGAGGGACCTGCAGGGGGGAGGATGCTCAAGGGCAGCCAGCATGGGTTCATTAAGAGCAGGTCCTGTCAAACCAACCTGATAGCCTTCTATGATCAGGTCACAAAGTCATTGGACACAGGTGTTGCAGTGGATGTAGTCTTTCTGGACTTCAGAAGGCCTTTGACACTGTCTCCCACCTCATTCTCATTAAAAAGCTAGGGGACTGTGGTATTGATGCCTACACAGTCAGATGGGTCACAAATTGGCCAGGGGGCCGCACCCAGAGAGTAGTGGTGGATGGGTCATATTCTACCTGGAAGGAGGTGGGCAGTGGAGTCCCCCAGGGCTTGGTCTTTGGGCCTGTTCAATTTCTTTATCAGCCACTTGGATGAAGGGGTGAAAAGCACCATGTTCAAATTCACTGACGACACCAAGATTTGGGGTGAGGTGGGCAAGCTAGAAGGGAGGGACAGGATACAACTGGACCTGGACAAGTTACAGGAGTGGGCAAATGTGAATAGGATGGGATTCAATACTGAGAAGTGCAGGGTACTGCACTTGGGCAGGAAGAACCAGCAGCATACCTATAGGCTGTGGCCCTCCTCTGGACCCTCTCCATGTTGTCCACATCCCTCTTGAAGTGCGGCGCCCAGAACTGGACGCAGGACTCCAATGGCGGCCTGACCAGTGTTGCATAGAGGGGGAGGATCACCTCCTTGGACCTGTTCGAGATGCATCTGTGGATGCATGACAAGATATGGTTATCACGTCCCCACACTGCCAGCCCATGTTCATTTTGGCATCAATAATGATTCCAAGATCCTTTTCTGCCTCTGCACTGACAAGAAGGGAGTTCCCCAGCCTGTAGGCATGCTGTTGGTTCTTCCTCCCCAGGTGCAGCACCTTGCATTTGTTAGTGTTGAAATCCAACCTGTTCTCATCCGCCCACCCCTGTAACCTGTCTAGGTCTGATTGCAGCCTATTCCTCCCCTCTAGCATGCCCACATCCCCCCACATTTTAGTGTCATTTGCGAATTTGAACAGGGTGCTTTTTACCCCATCGTCCAAGTCACTGATGCCGATGTTGAACAGTGTGGGTCCAAGGACCGAGCCCTGGTGGACCCCACTGCCCACATCCCTCCAGGCCAAAAATGACCCATCGACCACCACTCTCTGGGTGCAGCCCTCCAGCCAGTTAGCGACCGATTTGACTGTGGGTGTTGACGCTACAGTCCCCTAGTTTTTTTTAATGAGAATGGGGTGAGAGCAGTGTCGAA